GTTTTTTAAAAATGCAGTTGAACGGGGCTGCTATAGTATCTGAAAATAAAACTGTGGGTGTATGTGTTTACTCTTTGTTTGAGCAGTTTCAGCTTCTGTTACGGATTTCAAGCTGGCAAAAGGGAGTCAGAACCTTAATATGTTTGTACATTTCGTTTGAATCACCAGTATAGGATGCTGCTTTCTAAAAATAGCTCCTTAGTCAGACGTGGTCTGATGAATTTTCTGAATGTTTGTGATGCACAGGTTGACATATTGAAAGTAGTTGCTTCCCTTTCCTAGAAAAATAGAGGATGCCTTTGAACAGTCTGTGATGAACATTATCTGAATAAATGATGTGTGGATAGAAGTGAGAGCAGAGAGAAAGAGAAAGCATAATTTCAGATTACTTAGGTGAAGATTGGAATTCGTGCCTTTTTAGTACATTGCAGATATTTTCAGAGATGAGTTGTGAGTGTAGCTTAAGTGATTTCAGACTTAGTCAAAACGCAGATACTGCTTATCTGCTGATCTATTGATGCCACAGCTTTTTTTATTTGACTAATGCACAGAGTTCTTTTGTATCTTTAACTGGAATTTCCTGACAACCAACTTTGAACAATGCACTGTTTTTCCTGTTTTTGAAAGAGAAACTGAGGCTGAGAGCAGTATTATTCAGTCACAAGTGGAATAGTCAGTGAGCTATTTTCTTACCATATTGTGAAGCCACCAGAGTGTTTTTCCTCTTATGATAACTAATTTTTTTTTACATGTAAATCATTTTCCTTTTTTGGGGTGCCAATATTCAGTTGTAAATCAAGAACAAATGTTTGAACCTGATTTTAGTTTAATCATTTACTTAATTTATACTTTTCTGATCGTGCTCTCAAGGCATTAAATGGTAAAACAAGAAAGGTAGAAGACACCAGACAAAATAAAAAGAGGTAGAACTATTTTAAATTATTGGTTTCATCAGAAATTGACAATCCTAGCTTGATCTTCTTACAGTACTTCTCTCTTTCATGCCTTTCCACTAGGCCTATATTTATCCCCTGGAAGGATGGATGGAGAGACTGCCCCTGAACAAGTTTAGGACGCAGTGAACATTATTTAATATCTGGTTTCAGAATTGTTAACATTGAGTCCTTATTAGTCAAGCATACATATGCAATCATAATTTCTGTAAACAAACAGCATTCCCAACTATTTCTTTAGTTTCCTAATTACTTTAGATCTTAAATCTACCAATCTTGAAAAAAAAAATACTGTGAGAGGTTTCTTTTGGATTTCCTTTCTTTCTCATATCTAGCTTTAATGAAATATTTATAACACTTCCCTTTTTAGTAGTCAAGTAGAAGTTCCTCCAAATGCCATGATTAACTTTCAATCACGTATCAAGAAACAGCAATGTTTCAGTGTCATGTATTTCTCCCAAGCACTTGCAATACATTTCTGTATGGAGCAAGCAGGAACAGATCTTATCTGTGATTTTCTGGCGAAACCAAATGCTTTTAGTCCCATGGAAAAAGATGATGAGACAGCAAGACAGCCAAATCCTGTTTGATAAAGGGTGGCACATATTAGTTGTGCATTGAAGGATAATTTAAAAATGTATATTACTGCAGTTTTCCCTGGTTTTTATTTCTAAACTTAAAAATATGTTAACAAGGGAAACTTTCATTTCTCTAAAGTGAAAAATCTGCCTGATGATAAGGAAGCTGCTTCTTGAAATATTAAAAAGGAATAGCTTGATATTCAGACTTGAAGCTTTCTCTCTGCTAGCAAAATCAGTGCACTGCGCTTTGCGGTTAACCTGGAAAAAAGCAGCTGACGTTTCTTCATGACAGCTAGAAGTGGAAGGACCCAAACTTGCAGTGCTCCCTCCCCCAAGAGATTGTTAGTCCATTCCTTTATAGTGGCTCATTTGGGCTCTCTGTCATCACCAGGATGCTGCCACTGAATGTGTGTCATGGTTACAGTAGAATGTGGTAACGTAACAACCATGAAAGCCCAACGGGAAAGGCTGCAAATTCCAGGGCTGACCTTGGAGTAAGTATTGTCTGCCTTTAAATATTTTAATGCTTTCTGCATGGCACTAGCTTTTTGTGCAAGCCGTAGTATTTAACATAATGTTTTTGCTGACAGGCTCAGAGCTCTGCAGCTTTAGGTCTCAGGAACGTTTTTTCAAAATGCATTGTAGTTGCTTTTAGCAAATGTGCAAGCCTAAAGCAAGGATACTGCAGTATATTTTAAATTAAATTATGCTGCATATTTAAAGTTGCTGCATCCGAATGCATGAATATGGCATCCTAAAAGCATACAGTGAAATAATGCTACAGTAGGCCACGGTTTCTTTTCTCTCCCTCTCTCTCCCTCTCTCTTACTGTTTGTTTATCCCAGTGCTGTCTTTTTGAAAGGCCTCTTTCTGTGCTGAATAATAGAGAGCTCTGCAAGAGATTAGAGCATAAGAGGAATGCTATTTGTGAAAATTCATTGCTTATGACCCATGTTTTACTGAGTAGCAGAATACCAGTGAACTGTAATGCATTCTGGCATTTCTGTTTCCTATTCTAGTCTTTGTACTAAACATTGGCTACGTAAAAGCATTGTTTACTTAGTGATCTTTTAGAAGTGATAGGCTCATTTGAATGATTCCAGATTTCATTTAGAAAACAGCTATGTAAAAACATACATATTCATTATATAGAAAATATGTTGGCCTTAACCTCTGAATCAAAAAGTGTCAGAACAATAGCTCTAAATTAACTAACCAAAAATGCAGTTATATTTCTGACACACAGTTGTTCTTTTTGTTGTTGTTTTGTGTGTGTGCGTGTGTGTGTGTTTGTACACACATATGCAGTAATGTGACAAGATTTTATTTTGATAGGCTGAATAAATGTCAGCCATCAGTTCTGCTTGTTTTGCAGAGGAAAACTAGTTGGCTGTAAGGTCAAGTTACTTCATATGAACATTTGGCTTGTTTGCAAAGTATAATTGTATGTTTTTAATATTGTGGAAAACATTTGCAGAGAGTTGTATTTATGACAAAAGTATTCTGTAATTAAAGATAATACTGTACTCTGGTAGCTTTGACCTCTTTGGGTGGTTACAGAAACAGTGATTGTTAAAGATGTTTGATTAGGGTTCTATCCTTTACCTGCTTGTCTGGAAGTCAGACCCATTGAATCAAATGAGATTTATTCCTGAGTAGATATTTATAGGATTATAATAGTGTACATTCTGGAAAATTGTTTAAAAGAATTACATAGATGTAGAGCCTCGCTTGTTTTGTAATAATCAATAAAGGTACAGTTTGTAACACTGATGTACACCAGTACAGTATTTGTTATGTGACTGTTTAGAGTTTTATTTTAAGTTGATATTCATCACACAAATAATCATTGATTATACAATGATTTTGTATAATAGGACACAATGTTTGTTTTCTTTCTTCTCACCATTATATTAGTGTTAATTGACTAATATTAAATTAAAAATATAAATTGCTTTTTAATTAAAATTTTTATTGTGATAAGCATTAACATATCCATGATAAAACTGCTCTGTTACTTTATTTGGTGTATTGCGAACTTGATAGGACCTCAATTTAACTGTTGATTTAGTTTGTTTTTATTTATCTTTTAGACGTCCAACTAAACAAGTAAGTTGCAGTTTACTTGGCCTTTTTGCTACAAACTTTCTGATCTCTAGTATCAATAATATTAGTTCATTGATGAATGTTTTCTTAAGAATAAAAAGTTGGCTCAATATTTTTCTTCTTAGAGGTGAAAGTTTGAAAAGAAGAAGATAGTTAATCCTATTATGTAACATTTTATTAGCACTCCAGCTGAAAATATTCCTGAAGAAGACCACGTTCATTTTGCTTTTTCCAATAGGAATTCTTGCCTTCTCTGTTCCTACAGAGGTTTTATTAACCTGTGCAAACTCAGCTTGCTTAATTTGTTTCTGATGTTTGCTCTTGTTCAGCATAATTTTGATAACATGAGGTTATTGGTGTTTGAGCTATTGCTGTGCTCATCACCATTGGCATCATAGCTAGTGAAATTGAGCTAATGCTAGAATGGTAGAAGAGAATGCTGGGTATAAACATTTTGTGTCAAGTTTAGAAAATAAATGAAATAAAATAAACGTATGGTTGAATTAGGCTTCCAGATACAACTATATTAATGTAAATTAGCTTCAGTGGTACTGAAGCAGAATGGTGCAGGATTGTAGCTGGCATCTTTATAAACTACATTGGAAACTTATTTTGACTGATTAAGGTTTTTTATATTAGTAATTCTATTCAAACGCACTAATGCAACATCATGTTTTTCACAAATGGCATTCTCAAAATAAAAGTGGAGATGAATATGTTGACTTTATTTTATTTTTATACACAAATTTTAGGATACTTGTGATTTTTCTTCAATATGTTTGGTAGTTTTCAATACTTAATTTAGTGATACTACAGTCCTATATAGCCAATGATATTAAACAGTGTTCATTTAAAATGTTTTCTATTCATGGGAGTTCACAACTGGAGGTATAAGTGCTCCTGGGAATTTGGTTATTATTCCTTTTGTATTTTATTTTACCATTCCAAATTTACACTTTTTAAAATGAGTAATATATGAAAAGAATATAAGTATGCCTGTTTCACTATGCTCTATTTGAGTTCTTGTCTTGGGATGAAAACATTCATATATTTGACAGAGTTGTTTCCTCCTCTGCTTTTAATCTGGAAGTTGCTGCAAGATACGGGATCTTTGGCAATTATGCACTCATAGCAATTTAAAAAAATCCTAATTGCCAAACATAGAGATTGCTACAGATTTCCTCCTGTTTTTAATATGCTTGATTTTGAGGATTTCAATATGTTTGATTTTTCAGTCAGAATTCCTCATGTACTCATTGTCTTTAAGGCCAGATCCCCTCAAGTTGGGAATAAAACTGGATATTTTTCCTCCCCAAAATAAGCTTCTGTTTACCAGAGATGACATTATTTTAACTTTCAGTCTCACCCCAAGAAGCCTGAGCCCAACCCCAACAAGCCCTTGCAGCCCATGCAGTCCTCTGTTCGCTTTTCATTTTTGGAGGTAAGCAACTATACTTCCATTGTGCAGTTATTTTTCTTCCATGTTATGGAGAGAGCTTGGCTAAATAACTGAAGACTTCATGCGTATATGCATAACCTAGGAAACACTAGCAGTTTAAAAATGTTCTTCTCAAAATAAATTGTTTTGTTATGGCAAAATCATAGTGGTAGGATCTATGCCATTGTGTCTGGATTAGGAAAAGGCAATATATGTTGATTGCTTTCTTAACCATCAGGAATACTCTACTTCTTAATAAACAGGAACAAAGCTACATTGTGCCTGAGGCTTATGCCATCTGCCCTTTTTTTTCTGTGAGTAGGGTGGCCAGTGCACATCACCAAACGTGAGGAGAAAATAAGACACAGAGTTGCACTTGCTGATTTTATACATGCAGATGCAAATTAGGAACTTAAGAAACTGCCTTATGAAATCAGACTTTAATCCATATAGACTAGTACTGCTACCACTGACCAACAGTGGCTCTCTAGAGTTTCAGCAAGATTCTTTCCTCACCTTCCTTGGAAATGCTTGGGAATGACCCTGGATCCTTTATGTAAAATATGCTCCAGTACTGAGATGTAGCTCTTCACTAAAATGTAGATTTAATTATTCATCCCTTCATGTAGAAGTAAGCTTTAGATAGGGGATTGCACTCTATAAAATAGGAATCATGACTCCATATTGTATAGTTTGAAGGTGGCTAGTTTATAATAATTGCAGTTGAATTTAATCATCCTTTGGTGAAGTTACAAGGTGTGGTGAATTAAAAATGGAAGTGTTAAGCCCTACTCATGTGTTACTACCTGAAATAGGGCAGTACTCTAATCATGGTAGTGGTGGGCTCCTGCCCCTTCACTCCTAGTTAGATATCTATTAGACCTTTGTGTCTTCAGTGCAAGAATCTGAAGAGGTGTCTATAAGTGTGTTCAGTTCATACAAGCTAAACTTGTTAGGACCTGATTGATATCTTGAGTTGGACTAGGAACCTACTTGCTTCCATTTGTCCTCCTCCTCTACCATCTTTAAAGCCCTACTACCTTTCAGGCTGATGCTTAATGACTAAAGCTAATGCTTTGATTTATGTGGCTGGGCCAGAGGAAGAAGAACAGGAGTGTCTGGGCTCAAGGCTTAGTGTGCCTTCTTTTGTACTTTTTTTGATATTTCCCACTGATGGTTTTGTATCTACTTTTCTGTTCTATGTACTATTGAATGTTCCCCTTGGTACAGTGTAAATTAAGATCAAGAATTAGTTTAATATTCTTTCTGAGAACTTACTCTGATCACATTTGAATTGCTCTGAAAGTTATTTATGTCGGTGTGGGGCCAGGACTCTGGAGTGTAAACAAGGCACAGGCCTCTAGAAAGGTTCCTAGAGTCTGGTTAAATCCCACTATAACGTTAGCAGAAGTAGGAGACTGAGAGATAGAGTGACTTAGAGTTTAAGCCATGTGGAGAAATAACATGAGAGAGTTCTTTATACTTAGAATATATTATATTGATTATGGCATAACATATTTACATATATACAGAGTAAGGAAACATTTGGTATAGTAACATAACAACATTCAGAGCATAGACATGTAAATATATATGACCACCAAACTTACAACTGAGTGGTAACATCTGTACTGTCTCAGCTACATTTATACTGAGGACAGCCAATCCCATTTCCCCATTCACAGCTGGTCTCATTCACAATCAAGCAATGCAACATCCTGCTTCACCTGCATGCTGTAAGTCATTACACTGGTATTCTCTCTACTACACTAGTGCCTTTGAGCTACATTTACAATATTAAAATTTAACTCCCTGTTTTTAAACAGAACCAAATCCTGACAATTTATCCCCACTCATAATTAGGCTTGGTTCAAAATTTTAAGAATTCCTATTGTTTTTATTCTGAACATTCTGAGTTTATTTTCTGAACATCTTTGAATTGCTGAAATAAAGTTTCAACATAAGATACCAATTTCAAAAATAGCAGCTTTCAAAATTGGTAGTAATTTGAGAATCATCATTGTAGGTAGAATAATTTACATATACCTATCATATATGCACATTACCTGATGTCTTGCTGCATGGTATGTAGATGCTACTAATCCATTTGAGGACACATTTTTAATTATGTTGTGGATAGGCATATGTATTGTTGCATTGTGGTAGAATTTAATTATAGACTCAAGTATATAATTAAACTGAGATTGTCTTTGGCATGAGTGGAACTTGAACAAATGTATTTGTCTAGTATCAGAAGATGTTTCTCCATCACGGGTCTAGTTACCTCTTTAGAAAGACTAAAATGTAATATTTGATACTGGGTCAATTACATGGTCTTAGGAAAGAAACTCAAGGAAAACATATGGATGATATTGTAATAACAACTGAAATGACTAAAGGCTGTGAAAAACCAGAGTACAGCTGGTCCAGATGGGTTGGATGGGTTTTGGTTAAAGCATTTAACAAGTCTCCATCAACGTATAGTAGTGCAATTTACGGTAATCTGTTACTTAAAAATTCTGCAACTGAAGATTGGATGACAACAGGCCGCACATTTCTGATAATAAAAGATCATCAAAAGCCAATGAACCCAGTAATTATTGGCCAATTACATGCCTTCCAACAATGTTCAAGCTCCTCACAGGAGTAATGGCAAGATCAATATATCATTATTTAATTGAAAATTCCCTATAAGCAACTGAACAGAAAAGGAACTTTAAAAAGTCGAGAGGCATGAAAGATCAGCTGCTTATTAATAAAATGGTACTATAGAATGCCAAAATAATAACAATAAAAGAAAAGAAAAGAAAAGTCTTAACATGGCCTGGATAGACTATAAAAAGGAATTTGATTCATTTCCACACAGCTGGATTAATTCCTGCCTAAAAATGCTTGGGATTGGTAAAAAAAGGTTCAGAAGTTTCTCAAGAAAAACATCGAAAAATGGACAACTGTCCTAATGGTTTATAGTGAAGAATTTGGGGAAATTAGCATTAAAAGAGGAATATTTCAAGTCGATTTTGTGTCACCACTATTGTTTAACATCTCACTAATCCCCATGTCAATACAGTGGTGGCTCATAAGATGAAAATAATTTGTTCTGCGAGACGTGTCTTGCGATTTTTTCGTCTTGTGAAGCGCGGTTTCCCATAGGAATGCATTAGAATTTAATTAATGTGTTCCTATGGGCGAAAAAAGTCAGAACAAAGTCACTTACCAGGTAGCCTGAGCCCTGCTCCTCACGGTGCCTTGGTAGCCCCGGAGACCAAGGAGTGTCTGTAACAACGGCCCAGAACTCTGGCGGGGGCAGTGTGGGAATGTGCGCTAAGGAGAAGGAAGTCCTTGCCACTGCTGCCGCCTTGCAAGCACTGTCAAGCCAGTTCCAGCTGCAAGGCACCACCGGCGGATTCAGGGAGGGAGCAGCATGACAAGGGCCACCCGGAGGCAGCTACTGAGTGAGGGGTCGCATTGCCCTTCCTTGCAGGAGGAGCCGGTGGCTCACCCACTTGCTTGCTCGCCCGCCCATTTTGCATGGAGCTGCTCCAGGCGAGCGCTGCCGGGCTCCACGGGGACATGCCCGAGGGATTGTTGTGTTAGGGGGAGGAGGAGGAGGACGCGGGATCCCCTGTGGTGGATTATGCCCTCCAGCTTGGCCAAGCTGCCAAACATCCATTGTTACAGATGCTACCAAGGGACTGTGAGGAGCGGGGCTCAGCCTACCTGGTAAGTGACTTTTTCTGACATTTTTAGCCCATAGTAATTAAATTTCAGTGCATTCCTATGGGAAACCGTGCTTTGCAAGATGAAAAACTCACAATAAGACACGTCTAGCGAGTCACCAAAAACATAGCAAAACACTTTCATCTTGCGAGTTTTCTGTTGGATGAGGCATTCGTCTTGCGAGGTACCACTGTAATTTTAAATAAAACTGGATTAGCCTACCATATTTTACAACAAGCTGGACAAATCAATCATCTCATATCAATGGATGACCTAAAACTATATGCAAAAAGTTCCACAGAGATAGAATCACTGCTAAACACAGTGCAAATATTTAGTGAAGATATTCAAATGAAATTTGGAATTGAGAAATGTGCAGCTCTGTCTGTACACCATGGCAAGATCCAAAAACTAAATGGAATAGAGTTTAAAAATGGTGATATTATAAAATCACTGTCAAGTGATGAAAATTATAAATACCTTAGAATATTAGAAGCAGACAACATCATGCACACAAAAGTTAAAGAACTGACAGAAAGAGAATACATTAAAAGATGGTGTAAAATCGTAAAATCAAAATTAAAAGGTGGAAATACAGTCATAGCCATAAACACATGGGCAGTTCCAGGAATTAGATGTCCAGCTGAAATAATAGATTGGACCCAAAAGAATTGGATGGAAAAGCATGGAAACTAATGAACATGCATTATGCTCTAAATCTCAAAAGTCATGTAAGCAGATTATATCTACCACGAAAAATTAGAGGCTGTGCTTTATTGCAAATACAATGGGTAGCAGAGAAGGAAAAAACAAACCTAAATGATTATATCAGTACAAGCAGAGAAAAATTACTTAAGGCGATGAAAATGGAGAATATTTTGAAAACAACAGAAACAAAAGCTGAATATAAGAAACAACAATTTGAAAAGAAATTAAACAGCTGGAAAAATAAACCACTACATGGACAACACCTGAGAAAATTTGATGGAAAGCATGATCATAATTCAACATGGGCATGGCTAAAACTGGGAACCATTAAGAAAGAAACTGAAGGCTTGATTTTGCTGCACAAGAACAAGCACTCCAATATGATGAAAGCTAAGATTCAAGGAATTAGTGCTAACAGCAAACGTCGGCTCTGCCACAAAGGAGATGAAACTGTGTCACACTTCAAAGGAAAATTTTAAATATTGCACAAACAGATTACAAACTTAGAGATAATAGAGTGGCCAAATTAGTGCACAGGTCATTATGCAAAAAATATAACTTTCCAGCCTCCAAAA